GTGACGAAAAGGGAGCTGAGCCAGAAGGCAAAGCTCTCTGTCTACCGCGCCATTTTCGTTCCTACCCTCACCTATGGTCATGAAGGATGGGTCATGACCGAAAGAAAGAGATCGCAGGTACAAGCGGCTGAGATGGGTTTTCTCCGCAGGGTGGCTGGTGTCTCCCTTAGGGATAAGGTGAGAAGTTCGGTCATCCGGGAGGGACTCGGAGTTGAACCGCTCCTCCTTCGCGTCGGAAGGAGCCAGTGGAGGTGGTTCGGGCACCTAGTTAGGATGCCACCTGGGCGCCTCCCTAGGGAGGGGTTCCAGGCACGTCCAGCTGGGAAGAGACCAAGGGGTAGACCTAGGACCAGGTGGAGGGATTATATCTCTTCGCTGGCCTGGGAGCGCCTTGGGATCCCCCAGTCAGAGCTGGTTGATGTGGCCAGGGAAAAGAAAGTTTGGGGCTCTCTGTTGGAACTGCTACCTCCGCGACCCGACCACGGATAAGCGGGAGAAGATGGATGGATGGATGGATTCTAAATGACTAAACCCTCCTCTGTACCTATTTCATGCACTAATTGATCATTTGTGATTAATGTCCCAGGGGAGCAATTCAAACCCTTACCTTGGCCTATGTGTCATGCCCCCACAGTGTGCATTTGATTCGCAGCTAGTGCAACATTAAGAGAATGTGTGTGGGAAAATATGGCTTATGTAATAATCTTAAATATTTAACAACTACAAATGCTGCACATTAAAATTCAAGGTCATATGCATATGTTGCTGGTTGTCGCATTGAGAAGGGGAACTGTAGACAGCGTAATTACTGGCGGTAAATGGAGGGTAATGGAATAAGACTTGTACAGCTTTTCTGCAGTACATTCCCACAATGCAAATGGTTGGTGTTATTTTTACTGGAAAGCTTCAACAAACACAATTATGGCACTGGCACAACTATCTTTACAAATGTTTCTTTCAAGATTAACTGCAGGATGCAAATCAAATGCTGGGATTTGAACCCCAAAACTTTATTGTGTACAATATGTACTGAGATGTAAGCCACCATCGAGGGTTGGTCAAATTGTTGTTTTTTCATTCTTTGACGAAATATGTTCTTTTCCAAATCAAACGTTTTGGATTCTTTATATGACGCATTTCTTGTAAGATTGATTGGATGAAGGACGTCTGTGATATGTTATTTATTGTTATCAAAAAAATGAAATGTACTCCAAAAATAGGTCAATCCCACGCTATTTCGAAATTGAGCAAGGGTGAAAACATTCCCTTAACAGCTGGAAAAATTGAGCAAAAGCTATCTAAACGAATGAATAGCATTGGTTATTTGTTGTGGATTAAGGTTGTGGCAAAATATTTTTTAATATGTGTATTATATTATATAATTCAAACCAGTTATTAGTTAGTCATGTTGGTATCAGTACTGAGATGTGGGTATTGTCCTGTACCCAGAATGCGAACATGTAAATGTGCCTGGATCACATGTTGTTACATTTACTGAACAAAGCAATACCTCTGCAAATTCATATTCTATCTATGTAATGTCTTGTCTTTTATCTGGACCCTGAGTCTGTAATAAAGTTGTCATTCATTCATTCATTCATTCATTGCTTTGTCTCACACCTGATCATAAAGCACTGTGGAAAGATTGACACTGTTTGATCAAATGTTTTCTGCTCTTCTCTTTGTGTATATAATGAACAGCTTATGCTTAGTATATACATCATCTGTGTAGACTAACACTAACATCATATCACTGCCCCCCCCAACAGGGTGCAGGTGGAGTTCTATGTGAATGAAAACACCTTCAAGGAGAGGCTGAAGCTTTTCTTCATCAAAAACCAAAGGTCAAGTGAGTACATCCACCAGGGAACATCACACTCCCTCTCCTCCCTTCACCCTTCAGCTAAATTAACAAATACAATCGGGGAAACTGCTGTCGGTGATGGCGCATTATAACGTTCCTGCCTCAGTTTAGTTTCTTAATTACATTAGTTTCCTCGTTGTAATATATTGTATACGTAGGTGTGCGCACTGTTGCCCAGCAAGGACAGAGAGTGTGGCTCATTTATTGAGAAAGGAGGCAGCACTGCAGTGTTTTTCTCAATAGGAGATAAGACAACCTCTGACAAAAAAAATGGTGCAGCTTGGTGCATCGTGTCTGAAAGATGCTCATTTGCATCCAGTTTTAAAATAGAATTAAAGGAACTCTGTGTCTCAGGTAGAGCATGTTGTTGAAATATCCTGAGCACTGACACTGCTGTCTTCCCCTCAACGTGTCATTGTCGCTCAGCCGCCACAGTCTTTGACAGAAAACGACAGGCTCTAAAGAAAATGTCGCACATGGCTGCAGGGGCCTGTTGCTCTTTGCCATTGCAATTCTGCTGTTTGTTTACCTAAATCATTTTACCATTGACTCTGGCCTCATCTGGAGAGGTTGTGTCACGAGAGATTAGGTCGCTGCAGAGGCTGATGAGAAATGTTTAATACAACTAGCACCCCCCGCTGCCTAGCAAGCATGTCTGCAGCCAAGTCCTGCACATTAAGTGGTGTGTGCTTATCAGTTAATTACTCAAAAAGGATTATGATTCCACAAGCATTATAACTTATGTGCAATCCCACCAGTCATTTATCTTCCAATTGTACTCCTATTCACGAGAAGCCCATACATTTCCGGTGTTTTTATGTGTTATTCTTTGAGGATATAGAAGCTACATATACGTCAGAGGAAATTCGTTGTGACAGGGTGCCAGAGCAGCATAGAACTATATTAGTAATGCTTCAGGGCTTCTACAGATCCTGTCTCTTTTGGCCTTTCACTAAAGAAGTTTTTAAGCAAACAAACTTAAAACAGTGACAATCTAGTTGCATCTGTAGTCTCCTGTTGCAACACAATGACAGAGTTGTGACAAAAACACCGGATATTTAAACAAGATCATTTTCCGGTGATCATCACTTACATCAGTTTTTGAGTCATATGAAACGATATGTCTTGGTCCACAGGCCTGAGAATCCGCCTGTTTAACTTCTCACTGAAGATCCTCACCTGTGCCCTCTACGTACTGAGAGTGAGTCTGGATGACCGCGAGGATGTCAACGGCGACCCATGGTGAGAGTCACACTCCTACACCATTTCTGTCCAAATGTTTTGATAGTTGCTTTTTATTTGCTGGTTTGCAATTATCCATTTTGATTATATCTTGCTTCAGGAAGCAGTGTTTGCTCCTTTTGCTATCTTCTAATCCATCTCTATTATGTATCCTTTTATTCATTCTTGTCTTTTATCTTATTCCAAACCAACCAGATGACTTTTCGTATGCCAGTGGATCTTTCCAGGAATATCTTCCATTTGGCATGTCCAAATAGCAACAAATGTGAACGATATCTTGAGAGCAGAGAACATCAATATATATGCAAATCTCGTTTTCAACACTTCTAATATGTCTAAGGGGGAGACGTTTACTTGAGATTTACTCCTAAAACCACATTAACATGAATTCCCTTGTGTGAATTTGATTGCTTGAGGAAGTTTTTTTTGGTGCGTGTGAGTTGTTCTCCCTGTGCAGTCATTTGAAAGTGGTGGATTATTTGTATTCCTCTTACTGCCAGCAGCCTTTATACACACGTTGTTCACAAAGTTTGTTCTTTATTGCAACATACAAACTGATGGGAGTGTTTCCCAGTGGGTGTGTTTCCACTCACATCCACACACACGTTCTCACTTTTTGTTGTGTTCCTGTTTTCTCTACAGTGCAAAATGTCAGAATAACAGTACAGCAGACTCGGCAGATATTAACTGGTATGTTTCGATCAAAATGGCATTTCATTCTAAACTGAAGTGAGTTTATTGTCTACCTGGACATAAAGCATCTTATGGTTTTTGACAGGTGTGTGATTTTCTGGGTTACCAGACGGGAGCCTGTATGGGCGATACAGGTGAGGCGGATAACATAACAATGAAAGTGCACATAAATCAAATTCCCCTGCATGAAATGAGGTTTAATGCAGGATTCAATCCAACGCACTAGCAGCCATGTATTAGCTAAAAGCCTTGCATTTAGGTCGAGCAGCCAGAAGAGATGAGTTTGCAGTTGCTGGGTTCATTAACCTCCTTCTCCCCTTTGCTGCAGGTGACAGTGGCCTTAATCAGTTTCTTGGAGACCATGCTAATCACATATCTCAGCTACAAGGTAAGGGTCCATCCACAGTAGACAGTTTTTCTCTTTAATCCGAGCTGATGTCTTACAGCTGTTGGATCAAAGTCCGGCACACAGTCTGTTCTCTCCTACCGGCCCACACCTCTTAATGTCCAGTCCAAGTGCCAAGGCAGAGGCCAAGCTGTTCAAGATACAGGGCCAGAACACTTTTACAATCATTTTGGAATAGTTAGTTTGCAGGGCTGGAAGTGCTGTTTTCATTCTTGAGATTCCTCTAAAGGTGCACTTTGGTGCGTGTATACTACGTATTTAAAGAGCAGACTTTTATCGTAATTAACTCAAGATTTCACAAAAGGAAAGGGCAGTCTTTGTTTATGTACAAAGGCAGAGGGAGTATTTTCCCTTTCATATACAGTAATGTGTCTTTTAATGAGGTGGACACATACAGTATATTTAAAAAGACCTTGCAATGTAACTTATTCCAGTAACACTAGAACTATAACCAACAATATTGCCATACAAAAATGTATGAAATGGTTCCAAAAGTATGTGCAGAGCTCAAGCAAACATCCGGTTACTGAGATCCATTGTGGACAAATTATGTATTACAGTTAAAATCCTGTGCGTCTAGCTCGATTCTATACTACTAAATAATGTTAACTTGCCGCTCTGGTATATTTAGCATTAGCACTTCATTTATCATTAATAAATGAAAGTAGTGTATTAAATCACATCCACACCACACAACCAAGATAAAACAGCACTTTATTTTGTATAACTGTAATATTAAGGAGATATATTACCTCTTTGCGGTATGCTATGTCCTTAGCAAACTCACGTCAACGTTAGCACAACCACAACTACTGTACAGGAAGAAAAAATGCAAAAGGGTTAATGTGATTGTTTCAGCTAGCTAGCCCTAGCATAGTTTGCTATCATTTGAAAGATCAGGACTGCATTATGCCAGGAGCCAGGCTGCATAGAAATATAAGCGTTGCTGTGCTGCTCTGAGACTGGTAGTGTCTCTTGTACATATTCTTAATGTTGTGATGCTTTTATATTTTTTATTTTCCCTTTCACAGAAGGCTGTTTGGGGACTCATGTTTTTTTTTCCTGATGATGTAATTCAGCCTTGTAAAACGTTTCAAGTTTTTATTTTTCCCTACCAGGCTTTTTAATAGCTCTATCATAGAAGCCACCACCAAACTGCTCATTTCAAACTCTGCTGTGCACTCAATATGGGATTTGTAGTCAGTCTCACTCAGTGGATTGGGGTCAGACATATTTTATTGTTTGTTGTATGATCTTGGCTTTTTTAGATGTGCTGTTAGAACTAGGCGTTACCAATTACATAATTCATATTCCAGTTATGCAAGGGAACTAATTAACTTCAGAGAACATAAAAGCAACAGTAGAACATTAAGCATACTTTAATGTTCAAAGTGAACTCTGCAAAGTCGTACAATCTGGAGACATTTTGTTGTGATTTTTAATAACAAAGATTGTGATAATAATTAAGTTTCTGCACCATTGTCATGCAATAAAGACAAGCACTTGTTTGGAAAAAAAACTGGTCAATGAGAAGTGTTGTTTCTGGACCCAACATTAATTACTGACCTCTCCATTATTGCTTTAATAGACTCGGATCAATACTGAAAATATGAATATCAAAGAAGCATTTTTAATTGGTGGGATTTACAACTCAACATAACAATCGGTTGGCCTCTTGCCTGTTTCATGGTATTGTTATCTCTTTGAGCACCTGGAAAAAAAAGCGCTTAGAAATTAAATGTATTGTTATCATCATTATTTCTGGTATTACACTTCTCTCCAAAACCATCTGCGGTCTAATGGTTCAATTCATTATTTTCCATCATTCCTTTCCAGGGTAACATTTGGGAGCAGATCTTCCAGATTTCCTTCATATTGGAGATGATCAATTCAGTGCCATTTATAATCACAGTAAGTTATTTATTTTAACGCCTTGGCAATCACTATGGTCCATTAAAGGATTTACTAATGCATGATCAAGGTCATTTTGGTTTCATGTGTACCATCTTTCATCCAAGGGCATATTAATTGTCTTCATTGCCTTTCCTGTATTACGATTTATAGTTGTGGTTTTATTCCACTGATGTATTACACCTTTCTTCCTTCCTAAAGATCTTCTGGTGTCCATTGAGAAACATATTCGTTCCTGTATTTCTCAACTGCTGGCTAGCCAAAGGTGCCCTGGAGAACATGATTGTAAGTATTCGCAATAATGTGTTTCTTATATTGTGCAAACGTGTGCAAACTGTTGCTGTATTACATAAAAGAGAGCACACAGAACATGTTTGTTTGTCTTTTATCTCTGAGGGCTTCGATGGTACTTATTTTTCTTGTGGCGGCCATATTGGATACCCTTATAGTAGAGAGCTGGCTATGAGAGCTAAATGAGATTATACAATCAAGCTGTATGAAGAGAACTTAATTGAGCTGTGAACCAATGTGTCAATATATGTTTTTGAAGCTAGTGTTGTTAAACACATAGATGTGTAATATTGCATTGGCGCTGGGCTGGCTACTTCGATAAGTTAGCCTGCTGGCTAGTTATTGGGTATCACACCTAAATTCTCAGGTTAACAAAGCGAACTGTTTGTAAAAAGAAAAAAAAGATAAAGATTTAAAAAAAATTCAATGAGTTTATTATGAGTGATTCGTTTTAGATGAAACAGAGGCACATCCTTATTAAAAGCATTTCTTTTCAGTTATGTATCTATATAATAATAATAATAATAATACATTTTATTTGTATTGCACTTTACATTTGAAACAAACCTCAAAGTGCTACAGTACATAATAATAAAAAAAAAAAGATAAAGAAAACCATTTGCAAGAGTCAAAATGTATAAACAGGTTAAAAAACAAGTTTAAAAACACGTTTTTAAAAAGGAGAGGCAGGGTTATTAAAACCGGCTTAAAAAGCTAACCAAATGCTTTGTTAAAATGGTAGGTTTTTAGTGCTCTCTTAAAAGTGTTCACAGGTTGAGGAGCTCTGAGATGGTCTGGGAGTGAGTTCCACAGCCGGGGGGCAGCTGCACAGAAAGCTCGATCTCCCATAGTGCGGAGGTTGGTGTGCCGTTCCTTCAGCTTGTTAGTATTTCCCGAGCGGAGGCTGCGGGTGGCGGTTTGTGGTTCAATCAATTCCTTGAGGTAGGGGGGGGCATTTCCGTGGATACACTGGTGTGTTAACAGGGTGATTTTGAATTCTGTCCAGGAGGTGATGGGAAGCCAGTGCAGTGATTTGAGAATGGGGGTGATGTGCTCGTATTTGCGCACTCTCGTCAGGATCCTAGCAGCGCTGTTCTGTACGTATTGGAGCTTTTGAAGGCTCTTGCTAGGGATCCCGACGAGAAGTGCATTACAGTAGTCCAACCTGGAGGAGACAAAGGCGTGGACCAACTTTTCGGCGTCAGGAAGAGTGAGGGTGGGGCGGAGTTTAGCTATATTTCTAAGGTGGAAGAAGGATGTTTTGCAGAGGTGTTTGATGTGGGTCTCATAGTTGAGGCAGGGGTCCATTTTGACGCCCAGGTTGGTGACAACTGATGAGAGGGGAAGGTCCTGGTCGGAGAAGGTGATGCTTGTTATGGGGGATGATATGATATATGATATAAAGAGAGCTACTATTACTACATGTGTTCTATAACAAAGTGAGAACAACTGTATGAAATGGTGTATCCTGTTTCCTGATTGGGGTTAACATTAGATATTCAAACTAACTATTGAGCGAACCTTAGTAAACCTTGCTTTTACATTTTGACACACTAATAATCTGTGTTGCCAGGTCAGATGAGAGTATGTTGCCCTGACAGAGATCAGTTATATTTTGGTCTGGAAAAAATATATTTTCCTCAAAACTATGTTTAGGGGAGAACACAACACTTTTTTAAACGAAAGCAGAGCAAACAACAGGGGAGCCTAATTCAAAAAAAGAGTGTCAAGTGCATGAGGGAAACAAACAGAAAAAAACACCTAACACTTGTAGCATAAGAACAGCAGGGATACAAACGCCAGGTGCACATAAACCTGCTGTTTCAGTGTTACTATTGTCCAGGTTTAACCATAGGTGCAAAGTGACTGGTACATGGAATTCAAAGCTATTTGATGATATCCAACTGGTGTAGTGTGTCATCTCGCTGTGATTCGGATGAGGCCATGACAGTAAGAGCCTCATGCCAAAGCGGTAGTTAGGCAGATGGTAGAATCTGAGGCCAAGCAGCGCAGCACATGGAGAGAAAGCAAGGACATTTGGGGAGGCGGTGGCAGGCAGAACATGCTAACAAGGTGCAACTGAAAATGATTCGTTAGCTCATGAGCTTTGAAGATGGCTTAGCAGGAAGTACAATATGGTATAAAAAGGGGGGACAGTGTTGTTGGATAAAGATTGTGTTTGAACAATGTATGGCAGATTTTTGTACATGTTAATTGTATCCAGTCCATCTTCAAGGTCAAGAAAATAGCTCACTTTTTCTAGTAATGTTTGACTTAAGTTTTGATTGAAATTGTATTGATGACTTCTCAATGTTATAATTGGTCATCTAGATTGGAAATATTTCTAATTTTGGGGTTACAATGAACTCTCTTCTTTTGTCCAGAATGACTTCCATCGTGCCATCCAGAGGACTCACTCTGCCATGTTCAACCAGGTGTTCATCCTCATCTGCACCTTACTGTGTCTGGTTTTCACCGGGTGAGTGAGCCTCTCTTCTTCAGACGTGCATCTCTGACCATTACAGTTTTCAGAGCAGTTTACTGACCCACACTGTTTTCTGAGCTGTGTACAACATGACCCAGAAAATATTATCTCTCGTGCAGAAGGTATTGTGAATGTCGAGGCTAGCCTAAGAATATTTGGAAAAAGCTATACATTTTATAATAATAGAGATTTAAAATGTAGTGCTATTGAGCAGACATACTGTGCTGTTATTGGCACAGAATGTCTGGCAAGATAGCATTTAACTGAAAGATAGCATGAAAAAGCCTACAAAATATAATGTAAAGAGTAAGTAAGTTAATATTAGGAAGCCAGTTGGAATGTAATGTAATATCCAATTGTATTTTGAGTTCACGCTGGAAGAAGTGAGAAGTAAAATGAGCCGCCTATGAATGAAACTAGTTTCTAGAATTATGTGTGAATGTATTGACTATGTTAAAAAGTACAAGGTTAATATGATTTTAGCTAAAGAAAACCAAACTTTTTGACAAACCTTGATTATTGCAGAGCAGTTATTCTTTTTAATTTACAATAGACATTGTTAGGCCTACATTTCAAACAATTCAATTTAAGACATTTAAAGATCCCAGAAGACCCCTCCCTGATGTGCTTGGAAAGAGCAAATTGTAATTACAAAAATATTCCAAAAATATAACGCAAATAATTTCAAAGACAGGCATTTGTTATCTTGCATTCTGAACGATTGTGACCAATAAAATAGTGAGCCGATGTGAAAAACACTATCAACAGGACAACCCAGCAGTAAAGGTGTTAGATTAAGAGAAGAAGCCATCCTTCTTTATGTCTTATGTCTCATTGATCTACCCTTTTATAACTCAAATGTATTTTAATCAAAGCTGTTGCTTCAGCTGACCTTTAGCTCTTCAACAGAATCACTGTGCCTTGGCCATCACCCAGCAGCCTCTCTACTCTCACTCTTTCCACTGAGACATCTCAACTCCCATGAGCCTCAGGGTTTCATTCAATCTCCATCACAAAGGAATTGTCACAGGCAGTGATCTGGAACTGACAGAGCAATCAATGCTGTCACTTTAATTGAAAAACTGATATTTACTCTGATGCTCTTTAAACTTGAGCAAATTGGGTTTGATATCCAGTTTGCGAGGCTAAAACACACTGACATCGTAGGATACACATCCAAATGATCTTTACCCATAGGGGACATGTCTGTATTGAGGACCATTGAGTATGATGTCTCTTCTTTCTGCAGAGCGTGTGGGATCCAGCATCTAGAGCGAGCCGGGAAGCGCCTGACCCTGTTCGACTCGTTCTATTTCTGCATCGTTACCTTCTCCACAGTGGGCTACGGGGATGTCACGCCACAAATCTGGCCCTCACAGCTGCTGGTGGTCATTCTCATCTGTGTTGCCCTGGTGGTTCTCCCACTGCAGGTAATGACCCTGTAAGGAAAACTCAACTCTGTTTTTTCCCCAAAGTGCAGTGAGGGGATTCACATTTTAGCAACAGACCCTGTCTTTTCAGATCAGAATTTCTCACGATGTGCTGCTGATGTACTGATCACCTTACAGGGGATATCATTCAATATTAAGCCATCACTTGCTTCATCAAATATAACATTTAACCAAGTGCTCAAAAAGGTCATTCTGCATAAATCTACTTACTTGCTGTGTTGTTGTTTTTTTAGAGATAACAAACGTGTCCATCATTTTAAATGTTACCTGTCACTGCAGAGATAGAGGGTGAGAGATAGTAGTTAGGAATGAGCTCCTGCTGCTGGCAAACTATTGCTTTAGTGTCCAGACGGAAAATCTATCTTTCTTTTATTATTAATCTCAGTCTTGTTATATTTGACATCACGTCAATGTTGTTACCATTGTGTCAGTTTGAAGAACTAGCATACCTGTGGATGGAGAGCCAGAAGTTAGGAGGGAACTACAGCCGCCACCGGGCACAGACGGAGAAGCACGTGGTGTTGTGTGTCAGCTCGCTGAAAATTGACCTCCTGATGGATTTCCTCAACGAGTTCTACGCTCATCCCAGACTACAGGTACCAAAACAGTGGATTTCATTTCAGAAAGTTAACTATGTAGTCATATTTATAATAAGTACCCCTAAAGGAGGCTTTTTACTGTCAGAATAAGAATGGTTATGCAGCAAGCAGGACTATAATGAATGTGGATTTATAGATCATTTTACAGAAGTTGTATCTCTTTATAACAGTAAGTGGTCTGTGTAGTATTCCTGTCGCATAGTCAAATCAATTGTATTTGTACAGCCCAATATCACAAATAAAACATTTACCCATTCTCTGCAATTGCGGTCCCTAAATTCAGACGAGGGAACCCTCCTAAAAGAAACAAAAAAGGATAAATATGTCATGTGTACAGAATAACTGCATAATAAAATTGACTTTGAATTTAATTTTCCACAAAAATGACATACGCTGAAGAAGTGAAATGCTTAATGTACAATCCCACACACATAAAATAAAACCTGCAGCGTGATTTAAGTAACATATATGTATATCCCATGTTTTTCAGGACTACTATGTGGTGATCCTGTGTCCAACAGAGATAGACATTCAGGTTCGCCGTATCCTGCAAATCCCTTTATGGTCCCAGAGGGTCATCTACCTGCAGGGATCGGCCCTGAAAGACCAGGACCTGATGAGGGCCAAGTGAGTGAAAACGTGGCATGCATGCTTACCTTCAGACCAGCACAAAGACATAAAGACGGACAAAAATGCACTACTGTATATTGTTTCCACATTAAAGATGATCTGCCATTCCAACTGTCTTTATAAAACTGCGTAAATGCACTTGGTGGTTGGTCGGAAGAGCCTGGTACAACACCTCTTAATTTCTGCACACGTGCGATTTTAATGAATGAAATAAAACAAAATGGCATTTCAGTCGGAAAATCACACTGTGGAACCTGGCACCATGTTAATGTCTGTCATTATGGGGGATTGTCATGTCTTTGAGAGGTTTGACTCTAAATCTAGCACATCGTCTAGATTCTATTCATTTTAGGTTGTTAATAAGAATGTTCAAATTGCTTTAGATGTAAATGGAAAGTTTAAGTCCTCCACTGGCAAATCCATGTCCTTAAAGTGCGTATGGAGGATGAGGTACTTACAAGTTAACTTCGCTGCCCTCTGTCTGCACATCAGTGTAATGGGATTTCACTCTACACTGATCATCTGCTCACATCAAAGGCCACCTAAGACAGGCAGCAATGTACCGTGATGGATCCCATCGGAAGCTGTGCGACCTGTTCGTTTTGTCTCTGGACCTACAAAATATTGCACCACCATTCAGGCTTTTACTGTCGCTTCAGGGGAGATTGCTGTTGGCTTTCAGACGTTTTGCAGCTTATAATGTGATGCCAGTGGAATGGTGTCTCAGTATTTCTCACCAGCACATAACAGCGTGAATTGTAAATCATGAATCTGTCCAGGAGGCCGGACCCTTTTTATTCATTGAGCCCCTCTTCAATGTGCACAATTGTGCAGGGGATTCGATTTTATGGAAATGTCACGCACTGATATGTGATCAATAACATCACCCGTGCAGGTAAGCCTAATGGAAGGATCAGCCATGCCATGCTGAAACATTTTCGTTTAGAAAACATATGAGTTTTTCCCCCCCCCTTGCATTTTGCTGACAGTACGCTCCGATGTCACACAACAGCAGATGGTTTTCATGCTAGAATGCAGCTTAACCTTTTCAGCCTTCGTCACAGGGCATTAGCACTCGTAGCTTTTTTTTATTGATCTCCGTAAATATTACATTTAACGTTTGGTTGAATGTTCTCCTCCCTAACCTGTGTTTCTCTCTGTCCCTCTGTTTCTCTGCTCAGGATGGACGATGCTGAGGCCTGCTTCATCCTCAGCAGCAGGAATGAGGTCGACCGAACTGCTGCTGTGAGTCTAATACACAGGGAACCTCCTCAAGATAACAATATTTGAACTGAGCAATTTCCCTTCACACTCTCCTTCCATTATACAGTAGCCCAGAGGGTTTGAGATATTCAAATAATGTTGTGATTATATTGTACCTTCCATTGAGATTTGGGAACACACAAACACAAGTAACTGAGGCAACTTTATGCTCCATAAAATTCAGATTGCTTTTACAAATGAGCCACTGGGTGAATGAAATGGAGCTATTTCTTCTCCCACAGGATCACCAGACTATTTTGAGGGCTTGGGCTGCAAAAGATTTTGCTCCAAATTGCCCTCTGTACGTCCAAATTCTCAAACCTGAAAATAAGTTCCATGTTAAGTTTGCAGGTAAGTGCAAAAAGGCTACAAACCTGCCAAAACAAAGTCATTTACGCACAATTGTTTTAAGTTTGATGTAATATATTGTTGAGATGTATCCTTTTCATCAGATCATGTAGTATGTGAGGAGGAGTTCAAGTATGCCATGTTGGCGCTGAACTGTGTGTGTCCCGCCACGTCTACCCTGGTCACACTGCTGGTTCACACCTCCAGAGGACAGTGAGTACACGCTACCATTTTACAATTACTGCTACTAACATTAGCAATTATGGATTTACAGTGATAGCCACAGTCAGAATATCCTTTTTATAACTGAACAAGTTATCATTATGGTTCTGGATCTCGACAAAATGCTATACATGTATTGCATTATGTTGTATCGCCATATCTTTACATTTCATTTAGCTGACGCTTTTATCCAAAGCAATTTACAATGACTGATTACAGGGACATTCTCCCTGGAGTAACTAAGGGCTAAGTGCATTACTCAAGGCCATATTTAGTTATCAAATAGAGGAATGTGGTCTTGCAGCCAAAGTAATCGAATTGTTTGAATGTTTACCTCTGAGGAATAAGACTTAGTAGCTTGTCAAGAGTTGGATGATCAAAATTATGCGACTGTAGTAGCTGTCATTTAGATTTAATACCACCGCTAGCTTAGCTTAGCTTAGCACGAGGACAGGAAATGGAGGAGAAAGAGCTTGCTTTGTCCGAAGCGAACAATTTTGCCTACAAACAGTTTTTTGAATGGATTAGACAAACAAGAGACTATGTAGTAACACTTTAGAGATGCTAATAGAGAGAACCAGGCTGTTTCCAGTGGTTATGCTAAGCTAAGCTAACTGTATCCTGGCTTCATCGTCTTGTGCACATGAGAGTATTCATATTTTCACATTTTTGCAGCAGGAAAGCGGTGAAACTCTAAACTTTAAACATTTTTTTTGTTTTTACTGTCATTAGTTATCCCAGCTTTGAATAAATCAGTAAAGCTACTTAGAGATGTTGTTAACTTGTTTTTGCTTAATTTGTGTTGAAACAATAGCAAGAGAAGATTACCTCGTTCCAGCCTAACATTACTTTTGTGCCTTGGCTCCATTAATTGAGATTAAAACGAACCAATGACTCATTAGTAATGCTTCTAAAGCAGTTCAACCTCCAAGAAACTGAACTCCTCTTACTGCTCTTTTAATGTTCAATATCTCTTTGAGTAATCATTCCAGTGTAGACAGATTCAATTCCGCTTGGATGATTGATAGAAACAAAGATGACAGCTTGTTTACAGTCCTACAGACTGTACCTGGTGTGTGTCTCTGCAGAGCTGAATACTGTACTGTCAGCCTCTGGAGAAACTTTTTACTGTCCAGTCAGTTTTCATCACCAAAGTTCCTGCTCGGCAATAAATCGGTCTGAATGTTTCATATTCTGTGCAAGGTGGCCACTATATCTTCACTGCTGTCCTGAGCAGAAACGAGGCACATCAATTTTTTATTTCCATTAGGGGAAGCTGCACAGGGGCTGTGAAGGTGATAGGGAATGTAGGTGGACTTATTTTTGGCTGGTGGTTATATAAACATTATCACTTTGATTAAAGGTTATGAAGGACATGAATTGCATAAATAAATTGACTTTATAGGGTCGTAAAAGGTCAACCAGATTGTGGAAATGAAAGCTGTTAGGTACCAAATAAAGTCTGAAATGTGTTCTTTTTGTGTGGCCGTCCCTCATTCTTTAGTACTTTAGTCATTTCCCTCTTCCAATTCATTTTAGTCTGCTGTCAAATGGAGTTTAAAGTTATTCATATCACGTGATAGCTCCTAGTGTAATGCCGGTCTTTGGGTTGTAATAGTTGCGCATCCTGAACCTGCCCTGACCTATTGCAAACTTAATTTTAACAAATACTACCAGCCACAAACTCTGGTCTTAACTTTTCTGATTGATTTTTTTTCAACATTCTGAAATGTGTATTTATTATTGAAGAGGCCTTTGTTTATAACACATAATTTATGTTATTAGAACTGATCATGCATTGTAATATTATTGTTAAAGATGTTTTTTATTGTTAAGGTACTTGTGAGATTCTTTTTTCTTTTTTGGAATTGTATATGTGGTTTGGAAAAGGTTCAAATGGGTTCTTAGTTCAGCTAAAATCTGGGGAATTAGAAGCGCCACAAAATTGCTCTTAAGCCATATCAAGACTGTTGTTTTTCCAATAGTCCATTCGTTCATTGTAGGAATCAGACATTTTGTGTCTCTGTGCTTCAAGCAGTATATAATATGATAATGCTGTTTCAGGGAGGGGCAGCTGTCCCCGGAGCAGTGGCAGAGGATCTACGGACGCTGCTCTGGAAACGAGGTCTACCACATCCGCTTGTGTGACAGCAAGTTTTTTGGGGAATATGATGGAAAGAGCTTCACCTACGCATCCTTCCACGCCCACAAGAAGTTAGTAAAAATGTCCACTAGTTTAATCCCGACACATTACAGTGATATCATTAGACTTTAAACCTTGCATACCTGTCTTACCCCTCAGGTACGGTGTGTGTTTAATCGGAGTGAAGAGAGAGGACAACAAGAGCATCCTCCTGAACCCCGGCCCCCGCCACATCATGGCCGCCCCCGACACCTGCTACTACATCAACATCACCAAGGAGGAGAACTCTGCCTTCATCTTCAAACAGGAAGAGAAGCACAACAAGGGCATACCCGTCAGCGGCCTCTACGACGCCCCCTCCAGACTGCCCGTGCACAGCATCATCGCCAGCATGGGTGAGGCCGAGAGTCAGGGGCAGAAACATCTTTTTAGAAGTCGATAAAGAAAAGAAGATTGAGGATGATTTTAGTGTTGCGAGTTGCAGACAGTTTGTTTGGTTGAAAGATTTTCCATGTCCGCAGAGAAAGTGGATGCTTTTGTTGTGTTTCACCGACCCTGAACTGCACTCACAATGAGAGATTGTGAGTGCTGGCTGCCTTGGTGATGCTGTATGCTTCCGCTGACTGTTATGCATGACTTCTTTCTTACATGCCTATTTTACTTTCTTGGCTGACATTATTGTGTTGTGCTTTTTCTTTGACCTGTGAAAGTTGATCAGGCCACTGCATATGGTAAGTTTGTGCATGATGCATCACTTTTTAACACTGAAATACCAGTAGAAATGTTACTATGATATACACTTTATACAAGTATTTATTTTTTATTTCTTTAAAAAACGAAATCCCATTATTACATAAAAAAAAAATGATATATGTGTTTTTGTACATACCATGTATCTGATATGCCTGATATATGTAATGCATATATCATACATCATATAACACAGCCAAATATGATGTATTTTTTAAGGATTTATTGACAATCACACAATGTCAATAGATTTTGCATGCTGTTTTTAAAGCCCATCGCAGGATACAGAAAGCAATCATTTTGTTCCTCAAGGTCAACTAAGCCAAGCTAAATAAAGTGATATTATATTGTGTAAGTGTGTTTCTTTGTGTATGTCTTAACATGGACCTTATTTACTTTACATAATGAACAGGCCTTCAGTGTTCTCTGAGATAAAATGGTTATGGGTTCACAGTTGACCTATCAACACATTGCAGTGAGAGTGCTGCACATGCTGTGTCTGAATGACTGCGTAGTTAGCGGAGCAAACATAACCCTGTGTTATTTCCAGGCACTGTGGCCATTGATCTCCAGAACCCCAGTCCTCCCGAGGAAAGCAGCAAGCTGACCTTGCCGACGGAGAACGGCGCTGGAAGCCGCCGTCCGAGCATCGCGCCCGTCTTGGAGATCGCAGACTCCTCCGCCATCCTGCCCTGCGACCTCCTCAGCGACCAATCAGAGGACGAGAACAATCAATCAGACGAGGAGGGATCCGTAGGCTCAGAGTAAGTGTTATTGATGCAGAGATTTGCTGGTTTCGGAAGGTTGGTGGCTGTAAAAAAAAAAAAGAAGTGAAATGTCCTCACTGTGGAGGCGTGTATCTCTTGATCTGATGTCCCCTGCCCTCTTGCTCTTCGTCACGTCTCAGTGGTTGTAGGAGGAGAGATTGATTGGTTTGGAATAGGTGTGTAATCTGTGTGTCATGAGGCTGTAAAGTGCGGACATGGCTGTGATGAATGTGTGTGTCATGACGGGGAGGGTCAGCACTTTCCCCTCTCGAGTGATGTCTACTGTTGTGTGTCCTTGCATTGATCCTCACCCCTCAACGCTCATTTACCAGTCGCCATGGTAGCAATTCAGCCAGGAATCGGGCTATCTGCAAATTCTATTCTTCCTTTGTGTTTTTTTCAATATAGCAGAGTTACCTTAAGGACAGATTGGGGCCTCTGAACCTCAGCCCATTTATTTTTTAACATTATTGGGTCTCGTAAAGTTGGACATTACATAGTCCTCCTAACCTCTGAGCCTCTAAAACTGCACCGCATGACATTGTGACTTCTTTAAAGAAATGTCAGACTCAGAAGTAAGGGAGATCAAGTCTGCAGGAAACACACTGAGGTCTCACAGTGCCCCCATGTGGCGATCAGGCTGTGGATGCTTCTTATAAAAATCTATTTTATCGGTAAACTAGAGGGCATTGTGAAACTGATTGAAGGTAATTACAGGACACAGAACCAAATTGACACTTGATACAAACACAAAATGAGACTGATAGAAGAATAATGAAGGTAGTGAAGAGCTGTGCAGTTATACTCCCTTTATACCATCGTGTATAGCTAGTTAATAATAATCCACACTAATAAGATGTGTTTAAGCGACTGTTTTTTGATAAATGTGGAGAGGAAGGATACTCAGTTCTGAGATGGTCATTTCTAGTGGAAATTTGACAAAAAAGTATCTGCACAATATGTCGGTATTGTTTGCTGTTTTTTCCCCCTGATGTTCTTGTTTGTTAACCAACAGTTTTGTGAAGGGTTACCCTCCCAACTCACCCTACATCGGCAGCTCCCCCACTCTGTGCCACCTCCTGCCACAGAAAGCTCCATTCTGCTGCCTTCGCCTCGACAAGGTAAATTCAAACGCAGGAAAAAAAGAATAAAAACAGCTCAGAATTAAACCACCAACACTTTCGCTTCTTATATTATTTCTCCAAAAACCTGACTGACTCCCTCTCTGATTGTCTGTCTGTCTGTCAGGGCTGCACACACAGCAGCTTTGAGGATGCCAAAGCATACGGCTTCAAGAATAAGCTGATTATAGTGTCTGCAGAGACGGCGGGAAACGGTCTCTACAACTTCATCGTCCCTCTGCGCGCCTACTATCGGCCCAGGAAGGAGCTCAACCCCATAGTGCTGCTGCTGGACTACCCGTAAGACTTTTAACCGTCCTGTACGTTTGTTCTTACTCCTACAGGGATGTAAACTGACATTTCCACAATAACAAAAACCCACATAGTAATGTGCCCCTGACACATGTACCTAAATTAGTATCTTGCTAGTAGACTAATGAACAATAATTCTACATCATTGTTGATAAATGATTGGTAGTAAAAAAAAGAATTGCTATTTGAGAGTTTGACATACCGTAGGTACAAAATCATCTTCTCCTTTTTACAGGGGATATTTAGAGGTGCGGAAAGAATTGCGTGCAGTAGAAATATATGGGTTAACCTTGCTTCCAGATATAAAAAAATATGTTTTAACATTGTTATTATTATTATTAAAAAAAACGTGTGCCTTTTTGTGTTTATGTTTTGTATTTGTTTGCAGTCTCATGTGGAAGTGCTTTTTTATTTTATCAATTTGGAGCAACCAAATTGCTTTCAGTAGAAATATTGGTTAGCTTTGCTTTAAGATAAAACAAGAAATGGATTTTGCATTATTCATAAACAACCTCTCTTTCTCAAGAGAAAAGTGTGTGTGTGTGTGTGTGTGTGTGTGTGTGTGTGTGTGTGTGTGTGTGTGTGTGTGAAAAATCATCAATAACTTCGGACAAATCTCTACAGCGCTAAAACTGACAAACCACTCAGACAGGGAGCCATGATAGTGAGACCCTAAGGGGTTTCCATAGCAACCAGTTACATCCTACCCTTGAATTTAAGGAATAAACATATACTGATCCCCTCTTGTTGCGTAATAAACCATCAAATACAATTCAAACAGCATGTGCCCTGTCCTGATCCACAAACACATTTAAATGAATTACAGCATCAGTGACATCATCTGTCTCCGGGGTTTTACAGAAATGATCATAATGTTTCTTGTCTCCCGCAGGCCAGACAACCACTTCCTAGAGGCCATTTGCTGCTTTCCAATGGTCTACTTCATGGCTGGCACCATCGATAAGTAGGTTTTTGGATCATAAAAAAACTGCTCACTTAATAAGCTCATTCAGTGGTTCATGTTTTTCCAGTGGTAGTTTCACCATTTTTATAATAGCTAATGGCAATATTTCAACTTGCATGTATCATGAATAAAATGCAATATGATTCTTAGCAGGTGTTGGCAATCACAAAACATAGCTTCAGGGCCTGGTTAAAGGAAGGATTCACTATTAAATACCATGCATGTGTAGACCCAGCATATTGAAATTCCAACATGTAGCCATCCAACAGTACACTGTCAGGTCATGTTCAAATAAAACTGCACAGCTAGACAGGAGTTGGATTATGAGGGTATTACAGAAAGGCTGCTGCTTCCTAAACTCAAAGTTTGCAGATATCAGAAGCACAAAATCCATTACAAAGCACAGACAGCAGATGTTGAATGTAAGTGCACAGCTGGATTGGGTACACCAGCTGTTTGTAAAACCATTATCAAGTTTGTGTGTAAACTTCTTCCTAATTCCTAAGTAACTGGTAGCCAGCTGCTAACTTTAATCATAAAATAGCTTATTCAGTAAAGACTTCAGTACTGTGCGGTTTGGTTGAGCGTCCCATCATAAGCAATCAGCTATGTCAACAGGAAGTCACTACATCAGAACATACTTGCCAAAAATAACAGTTTTAGGGGGGTGTGAAGCTGACCGTTGAGCGGCCCGACCAAGCAAGGAGGCAGAGGCAGAACGTCCAAAATACAACCCGGTGTGGGCATTTATTACTCACGGGAACATGACACAGCCTCAATCTCGCTGTTCACGTGAGCACAGTCACCAGCCACAAGGATCTCACACACCAAACAAAACAGGAAACACAGAGCCTAAATACCCACACTAATTAACCCAACAAGACACAGGTGAGGGGGGAGGAGACAACACAGGGCACCAGGTGCACACAATCAACAGCAACAGGCATGGGGAAAGGGAACACTTTTCAAAATAAAACACATGTGCAATATACAAAGCCCGAAGCCGTCAGTCCACAGTGACGAAGCCATCTTCGTCACAGGGGGACATATTTAAGTACACTTAACTTTCTCCTGATAAAGATTTCCGTGTATGCAACTAGATCATACCAGTTCTACAGAGTCGCTGGTAGCTTAGCATAAAAAGACATCCACCTCCGATGCTAACCTCTGCAGTGAAATTTGGTGATTTAGTGTCTTTATCATTTCAGATATTGTGGTATTGAATTTAAATCATTTTGATCAAGTGTAGGGTCATATGTTAGTGATACCATGTCATTGTAAATACCCACAAGTCATCACTGGAAAATGTAATGGCTATAAATATTTAGAAACAACTATAATCTACATGAGAACTGAAGTCTGTTGTGCAACCCGTTCAATTATTTTAATTAATTGATGCATTTATATTTACTCTACACTTTGAACACTTGTTATTTTGAGGCTAAGATGCTGCATCTTGGTAGGTCTTGTAAATGGAGCAATTTGCAAACCAAGGTATATGATCCAGCTTTTCCTAACGTGTGTGAACATGACAAATGATTAGAACAAATTGCACTTTACAGATGTATGTTTTATTATTGTTATACTATCTAAGGACAGATATTTCCTGACGTCACGTAACAAGCTCTGTTGTTTTGTGAATGGACCAGCTTGGACAATCTGCTCCAGTGTGGAATAATCTACGCCGACAACCTGGTGGTTGTGGACAAGGAGAGCACCATGAGCGCTGAGGAGGACTACATGGCCGACGCCAAGACCATCGTCAACGTCCAGACTATGTTTAGGTAACACGGGAGCATTTTGTACAAACACACAGTGAACATGTTGTAGTAGTTGTGTCAGACTCCACTTGATCAACTCCCTGTATAGTAAATGCTTGTTTGTCAGAGTTTGCTTAATGAGTTAATCTCTAAGACAAAGTACTGTTGTTAAAAGTAGTCTTTTACTGCAACAGAGATTAAAACCATCCATCACTGCCTCAGCACAAAGCGTTAACATCGCTCTCTGTTTAATCCCAGGCTGTTTCCCAGCCTCAGCATCATCACGGAGCTCACACACCCGTCCAACATGAGGTTCATGCAGTTCAGAGCCAAGGACTGCTACTCGCTCGCGCTCTCCAAACTGGAGAAGGTGAGCTGTGGAGAAGTGAGAACACCTTGAGACTCGCTGGCTTTCACTTTGTCTTGTTGTGTGAATGTTTTCCAAAGGCAGATCAGAGCTGCTTTTATAGAAGATAGTCTGTAATATATAAAAGTGAATACAAACAAAAATGTTTTATTGAAAAGCATTTCTAAACTGAATCAAAAAAAAGATATTCAACCTGAAGAAGTATGTTCAAAAACTTTTTTCAAAGTTCAGGATCCAAAGAAATACATTTAATTTTTTTTGAAAGAGTACGACTTGTGGCCCAGATTGTGATTTAGGAGTTTTTTTTCTATTTTCTTTCTTTATTTACTTGTAAAGCGAGTTTTAGTCCTAGGAAAACCAATACATAAATACCATTTGTTATTGTTGTTATTTGTATTATTATTTAAATATATCATGTAACTCTAGGGATTGAAGGACCTGTTAGTTTTCCCTCTCTCATCGCACAGTGAAACATCACTTTTGAATATAAGAGTGAGCTGAAGCGAAGTCTTTAGATGTATTTTGCTATTATGATTGTTCTTTAGTAGTAAACATGTTATTTTCTCTTCCTCCTGCTTTTCTCAGAAGGCCAGAAGTGTTATTATTGTATAATAGATAGAACTTTTCTCTGTCTCCGAAAACATATTATTACTTACTGCTTTTTTATGCGTCTTTATGATGGTGAATGGAAATAATAAAACACAAAGAAAAGTCATGAGTTTCATCTTGACTCTCGATCGAAGTCTTTTAATCCTTTCTGAATTCCTCATGGGTTGTTTTTCTCCCACCTGCAGTAAAGCCTTCACGGTGCTTAAAAAACACTCTCCACCTTTTCAAAACAGGCCTTTTTCTTTTTTCATCATTACTTCTTCTTGGAGATGATGCAAAAGAGCAGTAGTTCAGCAAACATATCAGGAAAAGGTTGTATTATCTGGTTGCTCTCTTCCTCACACCTTCTTGTTTCTCTCTTCAGATAGAGCGTGATAAGGGCTCCAACCTGGCCTTCATGTTCCGGCTGCCCTTCGCTGCAGGCAGGGTGTTCAGCATCAGCATGTTGGACACACTGCTGTACCAGGTGGGACCACATGGAAACACCTCAGAAGTTAAACGTGGGGGTTCATCGTGAGAAATGATAGTCATATATATTGTTTCCATCAATCTTAGATGTCTGTGCAGCCGAGTAACCCAGAAGCAGGTTCAGGGATTAGATTATTTTCTTTTTTTAAATATGGATTTTTGATGGCAACCTTTTTCTGATAATATCCAGTTAAACAAGTTGTATGTCAAAGGTAAACATGATTAAAGAAAGTGTTGCCCTCTAGAGGTAGGGCTCTGGATGAAAAACAATTCCACACACACACTTCACAACACAAAACCTTTTACAGACGCACAAGAAATAAGGAATAAAATTAGCAAAAAAAACATGTTCCTGGTTCAAAGGTTTTTTTTTTGGCACATCTCATATTTCAAAGGACACATCCTTTGCCACATCCCTCACTCAAAACAGATACTGTACATAAAAAGGTTGATTGTTATTCAAACTCCAGAATCGTGCAATAGACCACACAAATGTGTCTACCAAAAGGGAACGGGAGCATCTGCTTTAATAATTGAATAGGTCTGATTCTCCCAATATATTAAAATATGTATATCTGTCATTGTTGCTGGAGTTTTTTTTGTCTGGGTTTGTTTTACTTTCTTCTCACCGCATTCATTCTCTATTTCCACAGTCGTTTGTGAAGGACTATATGATCGGTATAGCGAGGCTTCTTCTGGGTCTGGACACCACGCCAGGCTCTGGGTACCTCTGTGCTGTGAGTACATAATGCAGACTTAGATTTGAGAGGAAATGAGTTTGTGCTTGCATCTCTTTGAACCTCTCCCTCCATGCCCAGATGAAGATCACAGAGGAGGACCTGTGGATCAGGACCTATGGCAGACTCTTCCAGAAGCTTTGTTCCTCCAGCTCTGAGATCCCCATCGGGATCTACCGCACCGAGTCCCACATGTTCTCCACCTCAGAGGCAGGTTCCCTTTGATCAAACGCTCATTTATTTATTCCCTCATTTTGTGTTTTGTCCATTCCTTCTCCTTTCTCAACCTCAACAAGAATCATGTTCTTCCTTGCTTTGCATTTTCTCCTGCTATCCTTTCTCCTCTCCTGAAATGCCTGTTCTGCCTTCCTCGCTTGGCTTTTATAATCTTCCTAATTATCCCCTTTTAATGCTTGACACGTTACTTTTCAATCATTGTTTGATCCTTTATGCATTTTCCACTTCCATTTGCTTTACTCCAAGCAGGGAGGGAGATTAAAAATGGGAATACAATTATTTTGATACATTGTTAACAAGAAGTCCCCAATTACTTTAGATATTTCATTAGCCTGTGCGTTTGATGAAATTGGAATCATAGTCTAAATAATATTTGTCATTTTACATAAGTTGCAAGTATACAAAACAAAACATTTACAAATGCTAGCTTGTGTTATTTTCCGACCATTTTAATAGTATAAAATCCCTATTTTTGCTATTTACTGTTCTGATTTTGATAATTTTGCATGATTTGGATGCCCCCATCTTTCATTGCATTTATTTTTGTTTGGATGTCTGTTTGTCTGGTGTTTCAGGGAAAGGACAGTTATGCACAGGTAAGAGTGGGATGCTTTTTCATTTGGATATTTCACTCAACCTTTTGCATAAAGAGCACGAGTATCAAACATTGATAATGCTGGCACCTGAAAATAGCATTTAAAAGGAAATTATGACACAGCAGATACCGTACGTCTTTTAAAAAAAAAATATATAAAAACATTAAAGGGGACCTATCATGCAAAAGGACTTTTGTACATCTTTTATACCCTGGTGTGTCAGGGAACTCACCAAGTGTCAGAAAACACAACCCTCTCTCTTTTCCTCCATACCCAAATCTCTAAAAACGGGGCTGCAACGGATCTGATACAGACTGATACAGATTTGAAATATCTCTGATGTCAGAAACGAGGAGCTCCGCCTATATGGCCAACTCTCCACCTATCAGGAGGAGACAGCCACGGCCATTGCCGTTCGAAAGTGCTGGAGACGCTGTAGTACATATGCCAGGCCTGTAGGTGGCGCTGTAGTCTGCCACAAAAGCAGCGAAGAAGACTTCTCAAAGAATCAGCCCTTGCAAAAACAGGGCTAAAAAAGAGCAAATAGAGCGAAATGAGGCATGGCTAAAATGCATGATCTGTTTGGTATTTTGAAAAAAAAACATGTTTTATATAGATATGGCCCTACAATATATTATTAAAATATAGCATGATAGGTCCACTTTAAACAGACACACACAAAAACAGCCTACTTTTTATTTTTGTATTTTATTATATATGTTGGATTGTTGGAGGAGCTCAGGTTATAAGATGTTCATTGCCATTGTACACTGTAGCCTTGTGCATATGACAATAAAACCTTTTAATTGAATTACATTTGAGACACACACACACACACACACACACACACACACACACACACACACACACACACACACACACATACACATACACATACACACACACAATCAGTACCCAGCGTTAACACCGCCTCCCTCTCCTCCCAGTCTCAGAATTCCATCAACGTGCCGCAGGGCGAGGAGCATCGAGAGCGCGGAGAGTCCTGGAAGGAGAAGAAGGCCCACAGGAACTCCACCACCAGTGACCAATCAGAGCACCCGCTGCTGAGGAAGAAGAGCATGCAGTGGGCGCGGCGGCTGAGCAGGAAGAACGTGAAGCCGTCGAGCCGGGCGGAGCGCATCTCACAGCAGAGACTCAACCTGTACCGACGCTCAGAGCGCCAGGAGCTGTCGGAGCTGGTGAAGAACCGCATGAAGCACTTGGGCCTGCCCACCGTGGGATACGGTGAGTGGGGGGGGGGCTGACGGCAGCATTTAGACAGACAGACATGATTGTTAGGATGCGTTGACCAAAGTAAATTCACTTTTATAGTCGATGATATATGACTTATTGTAAAGCCAAAGTAAATAGAGTATGTGAGCTTATTCATAATTTAGTTTAGGTATTTTCACCGAGTACTTAATCATAATTAATACTATGGTGCCTGAAATGAATAGTAATGAAATGATAATGTTTCTTGCAGATTGGATTCTCAGTTCTCTAAACGTTTCTTTAAAGCCACAGCACTTCCGGGGGCAGACATCATTTAATCGGTTGAGTTAAACATCAGCGGGGGTAGCTTGACATTCTCAGCATTAAAAATGTACACTTGTGGTGGTACATTTTAAATGTACGATTTGCAGTTATGAGAGTTGAAAACAGTTTGGATCCAGCTTCACAAATGTAAATACATGCTAAATCTTATAGGGTGTTGGACTGTTCATCAGAAAAAATCATTCTTATAATCGAGGCTCTTATTGTTTAATTATTACACATTTTTGATTTCATATGATTTCAATATATCCATTAATGAATAATGGAAATAAGTGCAGCCTCTAAATCGTAAATGTTATTTTTTTGGACTGCCATGCGGACAGTTTCGCCTGTTTTTAAATACAGTCACATGACTTATTCAGTTTTGAGAAAATCTGAAATAAGTCTTCTCTTAAAAGCACCTTATATATATATTAGGCATGTCCCACATGATCTGTCCTTCCCACTGAGCCACCCATGTATTATGGGTTGCTTTGTTTTAGATGGACTAAGTGTGGCGCAGGAGGCATGTATACAGTGTGTTAAAAAGCCAAACCACATCATTTAGTCCGGTTTTGTCTTAATGATACATATGAAGGTAAGTAGCAATATAACATTTACTTACGTTGTATTCACCAACTTTTTAAAAGGCAAAACTACTTGAAGGCAAAGCAAAAGTTCCAAGAACACACTAAATGTGACCTACTTTCTACGACTAAACCTTGTTATATGCTCCACCCACTCTCAACCAGTTAAATGATGTCAGCTGTGAGAGAGTCTGTGTTTAAAAACTCCACTGTGTGTCATTTGATCTCATCTCACCATCTGTAGCTGTGGTGCCGTGGGTATTTATTGTAGAGATCATTAACATCGCACTACCCTTTAAAAAAAAAATCATTTTCTCTCATCAGTTTCTCACTCATCAAACTCCTCCATGTGCCATCACACACACACTCACCATTTCACACTCCTCATCATCATCCTCATCATCATTATCATCCTCATCATCAACACGTCATGCATGGAGATGCAGGAGCAGCAAGCCTCATCTCAATTGCATATGAACACAGACTGCAATTGCCTGCACTCTTTTATCTGCTCACTTTTCTTTTCTTTTCCTCCCAGCTTCACGCTTCCAAACCAAAGCAGAATCATGCTCCAGATGTGTTGCACTTGCTAAATATGATGTAACGTGTGTAACATTAAATACCTTTCAGGAAGAACCCCAAAAGCTCCAGATCATCTTATGAACCATGAATGTCAGTGAGGATTACTGCAGCAGGATCATAACATGTGACAGATGAATAATTCGGAAGTGATTCTGTGCACACACCGGTGCATGGCTTCTTTGCATCGCTCTCACCTTTTTTTGAAACTTCCTTTTTTGAAACTGCAAATGCATTCGCTGCCTGCCTGATTATTTTCTATTTCTTGTTCTCCTCTGTTCCCCTCCTCCTCTCTCTCTCTGCCTTTTTCTCTGACTCTTGTGTCTTCCCTCCTTTGGCTTGTAGAGGATGTTTCTAATCTCACTGCGAGCGATGTCATGAATCGAGTAAATCTAGGATATTTGCAAGGTAATCCTGTGTGCCGTTTATAACTCATTTACAACAATGTGAGTGGCTGCGTTCCATCTTGTAGGAAAGGAAGTTGTCCTTTCACCAGCATCCACTGAAGTTTGCACTGAATTAAGAACTAGAACTTTTAAAGGCTTTAGTGTTTGTCCTAACCATTTTGTTGGTAGTTAACATTTTTTAGTTAATTATAAATGAACATATTAGGATATTAACAGTGAATGCTGTTGCTTAGAGTTGCAGGACATTTCAGAGCACCCGTATTCAGAGGGGACCAAGCCGTCAGGTTAGCTGGTTGATCACAGTGTTACAACTCTACTGCATGAGTGTGTGCGTGTGTGTGTATACGTGTGCGTGTGTGTGTGTGTGTGTGTGTTCTGCCAGAACGAGTGGTACATCAGCAGCCAATCTCTCACTCTCTCACTCTACTGTCCCTCTCTCTATCTGGTCTTTTCTGCATTGTGTTCCGTGAGGTGGCGTCCCCCATGGCTAGAGTACTGCAGGGTCCAGAGTATGGCTTAAAGAGTGGAGCGGAGCGCATTGGGTCTGTAGATGGAAGGCTAGATGTAGAGTTAAAATGTGTACGTTAGATATATAAAGACCAGAGGTGTGCTGATGTAGAAAATGAAGAACTGTGTCTGTTGTTTTCATACATCAGGACACCTCCAAGTGTATTTTCACATGTATACCATGGCCACTTAACAGCAGACAAAATGAGAAGCAGCTTCACTTTTCTTAAAGTTTGTTTATATTAAGTTTAATGCACAGGTTGGTCTTTTTCTGCTAGTTTGACGTAACGAATACTACAATTACATATAGTCTGTGTGCTGACTTGCCTGTCAGGAAAACATGTTTCTGCTTATGTATTCCAGAATATTTGATCTTGTTTATCTTAAATGTTGCTGACCTCCAGTTGTTTAACTTCTAAAGTGCACTCTAGGGATATATTAAAGTTAGCAGGGAGCTGAAGTAGCGGAAAGCTTCTCTGGCCCTGAGAAAATTAAGAAGAACTGCAGGTAGACGAGCTGAGGAAGGAATATCTTTACCAATTTGACAACACGAGAAATCTGTTACCGTAGTTGGCAGTGCGCTGAGCTCCCGGGGCCACCATACAAGAAGCTAAATGGTTGAAGCGTCCTCCTTCTGCAGGCCAAAGTGCTGATATTATGTATACAGTTTAGGAATAGTTCTTAAGTCTAGACCAGCATCATTTGATGATTCTTTTAGACTTTTTTTAAGTCTGGTCTTTAGCAAGTGAAACAAAGTTGGAGGTCAGGTGTTATTTCCTGTCCTGCATTTTCTGTGAGGACCCTCAGCCTGCTGGAAGGTGCTAACATTTAGCAATGTATACAAAATGACGGCACAGTCTGTCTCAGATAACACACCGACCTAACTTTCTGCACCTAAATTTGAGATTTATTTGATCCAAACTATAAAAAAAATCAGAAATGAGTACTATATGTGACCATGGTATAATCCATATCAAATACACTGAATAGCCTACTATAAAAATGTCATGTCTCCTCTTCCTGATACTATTAGTTGAACAGAATAAGTGTGTGTTCCTGCAGCAGGTGGTTCTCTTCCACTCTCACACTCCCGATGTGTTCTGCTCCACTCTCAGTTTGGTCAGAGTCGCTCTGCGTTTTGGTCCGGTGTGAAGGATGCTGGAGCATGTCTCTCTGTGTCTGTGGATGTGTCACATGTCCCTCTGGGCTGCGGGGGGGGGAATGGTGAGGGGCCTGAGTGTCGTCCGTTTGGCATGGCAACCTGCCGCCTTGGTCCAGTGTGGAATGCGCAGAAGAAAATATAGGAAAATGGGAATGTGATGGGAAACGATTTGTGGCGTAGCCGCGGACGCTGTCTGCATGCTGGCTCCGTCCTGATGCTGCGCATGGGGAGCTGTGTCAGGGAGCATGGGCCTCCCCACCCCCCACCCCCCCACCCCCCCCTCTCCCCTTGTTCCACAGAGTGCCCTGTCAGTAACGGTTAGCCCTTCTCTCTCTTCCACCCCGCCTGGCTTTATAAAGGGCCACAAGCAGGTGGGTTGTCATGGAGACACTTGTGCCCTCCTTTACCTTCCTCCGTCCATCACGCAACGCAAGTAGCAGCTGCTGCCAGACACAGACAGACATAACACACACTGACACACACACACACAGTAATGTGGCTCTTCAGGGGAATGAATGTTAAACTCTTATTGATTCTTCATAAAAAAAAATCCACGGTGGGCAACTTAACTGTGGAGGCAATAAAACAATATTGTTGCAACTGTTGATGCATTAAAAACGTACTTAGTGCCTACTTACCCACTTAATGTGGAATAAGACAACTCAGTTTTTTGTGGGCTGCCATTTACATTTGGATCCCTTTCCATATCACAACCAGGCTCATTGGAATAAACCTCCATCCTTCTGATGATCTCCACCTATGGCTGGAGAGCTAATAAAGCTTGCCCACCAACCTGAGCAGGCTGGGCATTTTTTAAAAGTGGGACCTAAAGAGACAGGAGGCAAAACAGATTGATTTAGACAGAGATCCTGATATTTTAATATACACAGTATAAGAAATATTACATGTTTTTTGTTGATATAAACATGTTCAATTAAAAACTGTAAAATGGTCCTGGAAATCTGTATTATATGTCCCCTTAAATTGACTCAATGACCTTTAAATCTAAATGGTAAATATTTAGTTGAGCTAGAAAGAATATTAGTAATTTATCAAAAGCTAAATAAAAAAAGCAGTAATTTAGATCAAAAAATAGAAATAGTTTTAAATCAAGTAACATACATTTTAACTATAAAGCTTTAAAATAATCCAATCATCCATATCAGGAGTTATTTGTTTTGTATTTGTTTGTGTTGTATGTAAATAAAATGTGTAATATATTGTTATTAGGTTGTTTTTTTATATATATATATATATATCAGTATCGGCATCGGCCTCAAATCCAGTATCTGTTGGGCTAATCGTCAGAATACTATTGAACCCAATATTAAGCTATTTAGCAAAAAACTGCATTGTCAGTTTACTGCAATTAAAGTGTAATCGTAAACTGTAACAAAGATAAAAGCCGACCTGCAGTACGGCATCACTGCTCCATACGTGGGTTTCTTTTCCTTCGTCCTCACTGAAAGGTTAAAAAGTGGGAGTCTCGTATTTTGAGGGTTCATTTCCTGTTTAATGGAGGAGGACGAGGGGGGGGGCTCCAGAGCGGCTCTGAAGGTCTCCTCTGTCTTTCTCTCCAGACGAAATGAACGACCACCAGAACACGCTGTCCTACGTCCTCATCAACCCTCCTCCTGACACCGTGCTGGAGCTCAACGACATTGTGTAAGAACCACAGCTTTTTCCATTACTCTCTGTCTACTAAATCATGGCAGTGAATGTCATAGAAATGTTGCTTTCCTGAAATGTTTATATACAATGATACTGGAAAACTTAATGTGAATTATCCCATTCTCATGCATATTGCAAAAGAAATGTGGAGCAAATCTTGTAATATGTCTGTAATAATTTGTCAAGTTAAAAGCATGTGTAAACCTTCATTTCAACTTGCAATATCATCATTTTGTATTACTACCCTTGATTATCTGCTCTCTCTTTCCAAAGTATTATTCAAAAACACATTTGGACTTTCTTTATCTGAAGTTACAAATATATACTGTAACTTCGGTTCTTAATCCTGGCAGTGCAGACTCTGGCTTTCACTTCTGGCTTTTCTAAAAATGGGCAAAGAGGTGGAGATGGTGCGGTCTCGGTTTACCTAGCAGAGCAGACTGCTACCAAGAAGAGTCTTTCTGCAGAAAGGTTCAAGGTTCTTTATTTAGTCATACGAACATAGCTACAGAGTAGTTATTGTATGCCGATGAAAATCTTAGGTCACAGGCTTATCCAACAGTGCAACACAATAACACAAATAAACAGACAAATATAGTGCAAGTAAATAGTAAATACAAAAAGGAATATTTTTAAAAGTGAAATAGTGCAATAAGAGTCTATATGCAAGTTATTGGAATGATATATTAGAGAAATAGATAAATAATTACTAAGTAGCAGATGAATGTTATGGATGTTGTTACAGCAGTTCAGGTGTTTAACAGTCTTATTGCCTTTGGGATGAAACTGTCCCTTAGTCTGGTGGTTTTAGTCCGGATGCTGCGGTAACGCCTGCCAGACGGCAGCAGACTGAACAGTTTGTGGCTGGGGTGATGGAGGGATCCGGAGGGATTTCTTCCTGAGCCGCTGGGAGTAAAGGTCCTCCATGGATGGCAGCTCCGTCCTGGTGATGTTCTCTGCAGTTTTCACCACCCTCTGTAAAGCCTTACGGTTGAGGGCGGTGCAGCTGCCTTACCAGGCCGTGATGCAGCCAGTCAGGATACTCTCTATGGTGCACCTGTAGAAGTTGCAGAGTATCCTGGAGTCCATGTTGAACCTCCTCAGCCTGCGGAGGAAGAAGAGCCGCTGTCAAGCTTTTTTGGTGATGGTGTGAAGAGTCCATGTCAGGTCCTCAGTGATGTAGACACAGAGGAACCTGAAGCTGCTGACTCTCCACCGTAGTCCCATTGATGACGATGGGGGCGTGTCCCTCTCTCTGCTGCTTCCTGTAATCCATTACATGTCACTTGTTAGACGCTTTTATCCAAAGCGACTTACATACATTCAGTACTGTGGCCAATAACCACAGGAGCAATTTGTGGTGAAGTGTCTTGCCCAGGGACACAACGACATGCTGACTGCAGTGGGACTCGAACTTGCTATCCCCTGAGTCTAAGTCCAGCACTCTATCCACTGAGCCAGAGGCCCCCCATTGATCCACAATCAGCTCCTTTGTTTTGCTGACTACATGATGACCTGAGATAACTTTTAACATACAGATTTGATCATGTAGTATTCTTAAACCTAGCCTGCTAGTATTGGTAACTGTGATGAGAGGGTGTGTCATGTAGCCTTTACGATCTGGAGACCCACACTACTCCTATCCTCTGACATCAATCACATACTCCTATCCTCTGACATCAATCAAAGCAGCAGCAAATAACTTGTGTGTGATTTATAAAGACATACACCCCAGTTCCTCCACCTCTCAGTTCCTGCTCCATGCTGGCAGATGATGATGATGATGATGATGATGATGATGATGATGATGATGATGATGATGATGATGATGATGATGATGATGATGATGATGTCCTCACAGGTACATCATCCGGTCCGACCCGCTGGCTCACATGCCCGAGGAATCCCAGACGGGGCAGCCCCGCAGGAACCAGCAGGACTTTGTCTCAGAGACGAGAGACGAGACTCACCTCTGAAGCCCCTCAGTCCCTGACACCCTGACACTTTAACCCCGGAGAGCATGTTCCTCTCTCAGAGCAAGGACAGCGGCCCATCCTGAATCCCCATCATGTGTCTCTCAGATCAGAAAAATAATCAACATTTAGAAAAAGATGAGAAAGCTGCTGTTTCCCACTGAGCTGCTACCGGAGGATGCATGAAGAGTGCCTCGTCATCGACCCCCCCCCTCTCGCACACCTCTGTACTCGCACACGCCCCCCTCGCACCAGGAACAGGAAGTGGATCACTGAGGGATGTTTTGAGAGGTGTTTAGACGTGCACACACTGTACATGATATTAGAACATTTCACTCAGGGGTGAAGTCGCCCACTTCCTCTACGCCCTTTTCTCACTACGAAAATAATCCAGAGGCAACTGCATCCTCCGCCACATCTTAATCGCATTCTTACAAGTAAATGCTCTGAGTTTCTATTGATTCTATTAATTACGTCTGCTAAAAACAGACATTTCCATTTTCTTTATGAGCACAAACTTTTTTATCTAAATATACTCTATAGTGGCACTTTTTTTGGCCATATTAGAATTGTCAGCATTTTTCTCTGTTGTGTTTTGGACACTGATTTTTGTTGTGATTATTGTTAAAGAATGAACATTGTTAATTTATTTCACTATTTTAAGTGTCCCATTTGATGTCTGCTATACAGAATGTGCCATTCTTTAGTTGACTGTTTTTCTTTGTAAATATCTTTACAATGATTTGTACATTACGTGCCATTTTGCATTTTTTTTATGATATCATTGTTTGTTTTGTTTAAGAGCCTGACTGATTTTATTTTCCGGGCAAATATATAATCCTGTTGAAAGTTGAAATGTCCAGGTGGCTATTTTAACAAAAATCAATTTACGTATTTCAAGTTTGCCCACAAAATGATCTACTTTTGTTTAATATATTTTTAGAGTCTTATTTTTCTTAGCTTAATTTATGTATAATCATGTGTTCTTTCATTTATAGTTGTATTGAACTGTACACACGTTTGTCGACATATCTTGGTCACAACTCTAATAATCACATTTTAAAAGAATAGTTTTACATTTCTGAAAAAAACATATCTTGAGTTGACACCATTATCATAATTATAAAGCTAAAACCAGAAGGAAATGAGTTTAGCTTAGCCTAAAAGCTAAGGTAATGAAAGCAGGGGGCAACAGCTAGCAGGACCTCGCAAGCTTTGATTAACAAGTTGTTTTCTCGGTTAAATCTTTACAAAAACAATGTAAAGTGGATTTTTTGATTTACATTTTACACTTTTGTGCTTCTTAAACAAGCTATTTAGTGTTACTTAGTGATGTTAGGAGGCGCTTTCATTCTAGCTGTTTCCCTCTGTTTTCAATGTTTATGCTAACTTCCTCCTGGCTGTGGCTTCATAATTGCCAAAAAACATTGACTGGTATTTTTATTTATTTATTAAAGCTAGAAAGAATATATTACAAATCATTTATCTTTACTTGAAGGTATTCTTATATTTGGTAAAAAAAAAAGAATAATATTGGGCAGTAACTATCAACAGTGCTTTACCTTAAAGGTCCCGTGTCATGGCCATTTCTACTGATCATAATTCCATGGTCTACTAGAATGTCCTACACGCCTTGTTGGAGCTCCTGCCCCCCCCCCCCCCACCCCGTGCCCACTGTGCTCTGTTCTGATGAGTCCACCACCGTTACAGCTGAACATCAGTGATTATGTGTTACAATGGCGTTTGCTAGCAACCTGTAAAGGACACCAGTAATGACAAACAGATGAGAATGCTGAGGGGGTCCGGTTGCTGTGACGGTGGGACTTGCGGGGCTCGCTGCCCGCCCTGTGGGGCTCGAGGAGCGGACAGTGGGAGCTGGATTACTGGTGTCGTTTCCTGGTTGCTGCGTGGGGTCTGCAAGACAGTGAGACACTGCGGAACTCAGTCTGAGCACACACACACACACAGCCAGGATGTGAGTGTGTGTGTGCGGAGCTCCGCGGATTGGTCCATTTGGACCTGGGCATGGTTACGTCACCATGACCAGGAAGGAAAAAATGGAAAAAGAGAAATCTCCAACGAGGCGTTCTTGGGCAGCATCGACAGGTCTTTTCTGTGTTAGAGTTTTACTCGCTACAGGGTGTACTTTGAGGGTTTTTGACTTTGCAGACCGTTTACATGCATAACAAGCTACATAACACACAAGGGGGCGGGTAGCCTAATAAGCGGAAAAGCATGACATGGGACCTTTAAATATCAGCCACAGAAATTAAGCATGGATCAGGCTCTAGCGTTTTAGTTTTACTCTCGTTTAGTTCAATTATGTTGAAGTTCCATAACTCAAGAATGTTCAGTTCTACTGGTAGCAGAATGGTTTTGCACAGACAGCGCCGGCACATTTATGTCCTGTACCGTTTCTATTTAGAGCGTACTTGACCTGAAAACGAAGTGCTCTCCTCTCCAGATGATACAGGCCACACCTCGTGTATAAGGCAGCGTCAGAGTGTAGTATTTAATCTTGATTTATGTTTGGTTCTCTGTAAATAGTAACCTTATATATCCATTGTTTTTGCCGTTTTGTTTCGGTCTCTTCCGTGTGATCGAAGTGAGAGAGGACTTTAAGTATTTTTGCACTAAGCTCTCTGGGGACGTGAAGAGCAGAACAGCATGACCCTTTAATCTGAATCTGTACGACACAGTGGAGTATTCAAGCATTCCTGTGGTGCGATTCATCTTTGCAGATGTTTGAAAAAGCGTATTTGGTTGAGTGCCATTCTTATTTATATGTTAAAGAAGTGAAGTAATCTCAGATGGATTTGTTTTGTGTTGCTTTTGAGCAATCTGCTTTTTTTTTATGTTGACCTGTATGTGTTTTGCCCCATTTGAAATGTACTGCTGATATGTGTCAGCAGTGTCAGTTTACAGAGCAGGAGAGCGGAGGAGTGTGAGCGTCCACGATGGAAGATACAGCTGATCCATCCATTAACGTCTTCCTCTCTCCTCACGCCTGAAAAATCTCTACACTCCTACTTAAAAATACCACGAGGGGGCATGCAAACACTCAACAGCATGTTTTGATATACAAGCTTGCCAAGAACGATACATTTTGTATATTTAGAGACACGTCCCAAGACTAGGAACCCCATAATCCAGTCAACTGCTTGCAAGTTGGAGCCATTATTTGATACTGTGTATTTATATGAATGGAACATGCATGTTGTGTCCAGGTGTTATCAAGAAGCCTACGTATTATGTTTACCTCCAACTGTATGTTCTCAAGTCGTCGTCAAAAAGGGGTTGATCCATTTTGTACTATTTCTTATGGGAAGCAAGTGTTCTTCTCGACGTATAAAATATGAACAAATAAACGCTGCATGCAGCCAGATACGAGGAATGGAAAGTTGTTTTTATTTGGCCATAAATTGAACTTGAATGGTGAATATGAGTACAATCACATGTAAATGATTTGTAGTTTAATTGTATCGGTGATATTAAAACAGAATAAGTATTATATAATAAGACTATCTGAGAATAAAGTGTTACAATAGTTACATTCAAACTACAGAAGCAGGTGAAGTAAATCATTTGACTTTTTTAAACTTAAATGTGTAACCGTAAAATCATTTCATGCCAATTTCTCAAAGGCTGAGGTGATTTATTTAAATGTGTGGTTTTGTCAGTTAAAAAACACAAACATATTCAGTTAAATATGATGTAAAACAAGAAATGTACACATTTTGAGGGTCTAAAGCAGTGATTGAATGATGAACAATGATTACATTGAAACTACACTAGCAGGTAATGTTAATGTGTTTAAAATATATAAACATGTGTTGGGGTTCCTAATGTTAAAGGCTCTGTTAAATTAGGGAAAGTGTGGGATTTCTTGGAACTACACCCAACCTGACAGTCAGTATATCTCACGCCTGTAGGTTTTAACCGTCATTTATTTTTTTGTCTTTTCAACTAAAATGTGAAACAGTAATATAATTCCATACCAGTTTCTCAAATGCCTAGGTCTTTAAATGTTGTCTTGTCAGTCTAAAACCCCAAAATATTCAGTTAAATATGATATATAGCAGATAATACAAGAAATCTACAAATTTGAGGGGGCGAAAAACAAAATCCCTTAATTAGACAGAGTTGTATTTATCTATTCATCTTCTCGCCAAAAAAAAGCAAATGATTATTTATCCCTAATATAAAATGATACCTTCAATTGCTGACAAAAATCATGTTTAACTGCTTGAGGTGAAATAGTCATTATAAGAGTGACAATGAATCGACGCTATTTGATGTCAGGTATGTGTTCATCCTCGGCCCCTCGGCCCCTCTGCCGCTGCTTGGTGACGTGGATCTGCCTCCACCGGTCTCTGGTGGTGCGGCCGTGGTTCTGGGACACCTCGTGCAGGAGGTCCATGAAGGCGTACTGGTTGCCCGACAGCAGAGTCTCATCATCGGGCGAGGCTCCACCGAAGGGAGCCTTCGTCACCCTCTGCCTGCTCGCTTCGCTCCTCGTCTTGCGGCTCTTGCTTTCAGCATTTCGTGCAGATGTCTGATCTTGGTTTGGAGCCCGATTCAGATTTTGAGTCAGGTTTGCAAGATCCTGGATCCCCTCCTCCTGCTTCAGCTGCCCTTCTAGCCTGTCAGCATGGGAAAGGTCCTCACTGAGAGAGAGGGTCTCATTGTTTTGTTGTAAGGCCTGAGATGTCGTGTGAGCCACGCTAATTTCTAAGAGATCATCTTGATTTTTCTCCATTTCCTCTTCCTGTTTATCCTGATCAGAAGCAAAGGGATGCTGCTCTTTCTTTAACCCTTTCACCACCTCACCTGAAAACGCCAGTGTCCAGTCAGTGAACTCTTCAGACCCCTCCTCCTCCTTCATTTTACACCTTGCCTGCCACTGACTTGCAGTTGGAGGCCAGGTGGAGATCCTCCCTATCACTCTTCCTCTCTGTGACCTTTGACCTGCATCAGTGTCCTGTTTGTTAAAGTCCTCAGAAGTTGGTTTATTCTGGACTGTACCAATGCTCAGATAAGGTGCAGTGTCAGTGTGTGTAGACACACAGTGCAGGGTTTCATCTAGATCCACAACAGCATTGGCTTCATTTGTGGGATTTTCTGTCTCACTTTCTCCGTCTACTCCGGTGTGCTCTCCCTGCTTCGGCTTCACTTCCGCTTGGTTTTCTGTGTCAGTTGTCTGAGCCTCAGTTTGTAAAGTCACTTGATCTTTCCCAGGAGTACAGGAAGGAGACACAAAGAGAATAGCATTTGCTGACTTAGCTCTGACTCCAGTGAAGGATCTCCTCCATCCCGTCTCTGAGTCCCACCGGCTGATTTCTGTTTTCTCAGAGTGTCCCGGAGACGGAGATCTGCTGTCTTCTCTTAACTCGTCCCTGTTTTCTTCTGGACTGATGGGCATCACGCTTTTGTTGCTGCGTTTCCTCCTGTGCAGAACTATCAGGAAACACAGCGCAAACAGGAGCAGCACCAGGACCACTGCAGAGAATAAGTCATGTACAAGCGTCTGATCATATGGCTTAGGGAATCCAACTGAAACATGCAACAAACAAACATAGCTTACTGTACCTATCACAACAAAGAGTGTGCACACCATGTTTGTAGCTGTTGGTTGGGGTGTCACGCAAGTACCTGGAATAAACAACAGATGCATAAAGCAAGGCAAGTTCATTTATATAGCACCTTTCAACACAAGGCAATTCAAAGTGCTTAACAAAAACAAAGTACTTTAAGAGCATCAAGAAATAGTGCAGCAGAAACACGTTATAAAATGACATTTAAAAACAGTCATTAAAAAGCAAAGATAATAAAAGAAACATAAAAATGAATACCACAGGTATATAATACATGAATACACCTTTCTAGTAAAGCCTCCCGAGACTTTTTTAACTTTCCCAGAAACTTCCCTTTCTTTTTTAGATTCCCTGAATCTGAATTTTAAACATAATGTATATAGATTCCCTGAACCTTGGATATTTAAACCTGTTTTTTGACTCCCTGAACATATCATTTTAAACCAATTTATTTTAGACTCCCAGGGTTTAGGGCTTTCAACCAGTTTTTGATTCCCAGAATCTGGACTCTAAACCTACAGACATGTCCAGTGGTCCTGGTGGTGCATAAAGCACACATTATATAAAGGCTAAATGTCAAAAGCAGAGAAGAACGAGGCTTACGAGTGGGTGTAGGTGTAGAAGTAGGTGTAGGGGTCATTGTGGAGGGATCAGAGGGTTTAGGATGGAGAGAGAACTCTGTCACTGATGTAGCTGATGTCACACGAGTTGCTAGAGTAAACAACAGACAAATTAAAGAGAGCAGCTGTTCAAACAACAAAGTTTTCTAAATGTAATGAGATACAAATGTTTACAATTGGTTTAATCTACGCCAGACTCAGTGACAGTCCTGCTGAGAAGTCATAAGATCTAAACAATCCATATTTTAGAACAAGGTACGCTAACAGATTTGTTTTTATCAATATTTACATTATCTTCAATAAATAAATCCAAAATAATTTCCTTCCTTATAGTTAGGAAGAAATTCATGAGAATATAACAAGCGCTATGAATGACCACAGGGTGGTGCTGTTGACGAAGAACACATTTCAGTGAAATAGGTGGGCAACTTTTTCAATATCCTGAACAATATAAATAATATGTTCTTATGTATTGAGTTTCCAATATCTTAGTTTAAGAGACACATGACAAATAAAACTGATTTTAAGAATAACTATGAAATACTTTTAAGTTGTTTTTCTTAGTAAAAGAGCAAAGATATTCTGTGAATTACTTCTTTTTTTCTTCTTCTTTTAATGAAGGCAATATTCAGTCAGTCAGATGGGGGTTGTGGATGGCCTGAAGTTAAAGGTTCCAAAACAAAAGCCCTTTATTATCAGCCGTTTATCGATATTATAAATAAATCAATTACATGATGTGCAACTGTATTACTGAACATGTTATGAAGCAGCTAGGCTCCAGTAAGCTGCTCAAAAAAGTTCAGAGTTTTCATTTTCACTTGTACTACTTTTTTTGACAGATTTCTAGCTAGACTTCTCTTCCCATTATTTTTAATAAAAATAAAAATAAAACCTACTAAATGAATCAGACTTTAAAGTAGTTGAAGCGACCGTGGTGGGTTCAGGTTGGACGGAGGTTTGTGTCTCTGATGGATGTCGTTGTGGATGTGATGCTGGAGAGAACAAAATAAATACTAAGCACACACTTATTCAAAACTCTAATGGAAAACAATTCAAAACAAACCAGAAACTAGGAGAAGAAGAGCGACGTGTACCGGTGTGTGAGGACATTAATGTGGGTGCGTCAGTGGGTTTGGGTTGTAGAGAGGTTAGTGTCTCTGATGGAGATATTGTTACAACGTTTGCTAGGAGGGAACAACGGATGCACAAAGCACAAATTATATATTGTAAAAAGTGGGGAAAATCACGATATAATGGTAAAGAATGTCAAATATCAAACCGGATGTACCAGATGTGGATGTGTGGCCTGATGTGAGGATGGTAGAGGGTTTGAAGGTTGGAGTTACAGGCGCTGTTGGTGGTGGGGGGGGCATCACACACACAGACACGTTCCACACTCGCTGACCCCTCAGAGACGGAGGACTCTCACAGGTCACGTCCATCTGTCTGTCCAGCAGAGATCTGTTCTGCAGATCTGAGCAGAGCAGCAGCTTTAGGTTTCTGCAATGACTTCCTGTTTTCTGAATTTTATATTTGACTAACCTTTCAGGAAGTCCACAAAGTCTCCAGCCCCGCAGGAACAGTTCCAGGGGTTCCCGTCCAGTCTGACCCGGGTGGAACTGAGGGACTGGAAGACCTGAGGGGACACCCAAGTCATCCTGTTCCCAGACAGGTCCAACTCAGCCAGGACGGAGTTAGAGCTGAACGTATTTTGATGGATGGTTCTGATCTTGTTCTTATTCAGACTGAGCCTCACGAGGCTATCGAGACCGTGCAGCATGGACTCATTCAGAGCTTCTATCTGGTTTTCTGCGAGGCTGAGGTTTATGAGAATATGAGGACCACCCAACCACTTTGGGTTGATCTCGGTCAGCAAGTTCTTGTTCAAATTGAGATTTGTGAGGTTCTCGAAAGAACTGAAGGCGCCTTCAGCGATTCCTGTGATTCCTGATTTCTCTATCTGGAGGTGTGTTACAGAGGTGAGGCTCTCACTGCGTAACACAGTGGAGTTTATCTCCCCAACGCCGTTCAGAGAAAAGGCCAGATTGGATATACCGGGAGGGAAAACTAAAAAGCACAGCATTATTATTATTATATTTAGGCACGTGGAACTTGAAGAAGTTACCTTCAAAGAATAGCAGTTTGGACATGAAAACATCTGCATTAAAAAGAGTATTAATTTAGTAAATGCAATAAAAGGAAACCTCAATGTCTCACTGTTAATGAAACCAAGTACTCCATTTACTACAGTTTTTGTATTGAGCCATTTCAAAGTAATGTTTTGCTGCCATCTAGTGGCTGATATACACAATGTATCATACACAGATTTAAAGGGGCCCTATTATGCTCATTTTCAGGTTAGTTTTCTTATTTTGTGGCTGCTCTGATTGGTTAGCTGACCGGCTTGTTGTGATTGGTCAACCGCTTAGAGATATCCAACCCTTTAACCTATAGCTTACAATGTGTTGGTTAGAGTACCAACCAATAGAGGCACAAGTGCTGCTCCCTCTGGAGGGAACTTTGGAATGTTAGCCTTTGCAGACCATTAACATGCACAAAAACATATATAGTATACAGGAAAAGAAAAACCCCATAAGCATAAAACAGCCCGTTTAACTTTTCTGACCACGATAAAGAGATACATATATTCAGATATGAAAAACCTTTAATCCATGCAGGTCAATATCACAGCAATTGTTTGTCTGACTACACTTTTAACCAACTTTTTCATCCTTAGACACCACAACTCTCAAACTTTTTAAGCAATTATTTTTGAAGGAAATAGATTAGAGGTACACTTTTTATAACACTGTGGAGTGGGAGAAATTATATCACAATACATTTAATTAAAGGCTAAAATCAGCCAAATATATCCAGCTAAACTTAAGGTCCTCACCTGTTGGCATCTCCTGGCATAATAAAACGTTTACAGCTCCGAAACACGACTGGCTCAGATTCACATTTACCAGCATCAGCACGAGACCTGCAACAACTGAAGAGAAACAGAGGAGTCAATGCTGCGAGTTCAACACTTCATCAGTTACAAAACGTTAGAAGAGGAATATGTGCACTTACGTTTCATGATAACCGATCTGATTGACTCTGTAGGGTCTACAGCCTGGACTCTGCCTGCAGTGACAGTTGGTCAGGTCGGGGGGGTCTTGTGATCACCTGAAGCAGCAGGTGTGAAGAGAAACACTGTTGCCATGGTGGAGCAGAGTTTGCCATGGTAAAGAGCTCGGGCACTGAAGACGCTGTTCCAGTTGGGTAGTGGAGGGTGAGGCGGCTAGCAACAAGGGGGGCCCGGAGATGCTTTCACTATTTAGATTTCTTAAATTAGAAAACCCAGTATCATGTTGAGTGATGCATTTTTAAATCCCACCTTTAAAATGTTTATACAACCATGTGATATTAGTGTTACAATGTGTTGGAGCACAAGCCAAGTGTCACGTATGGGATGCCACTATGTTACAGGGGGGGGGGTTAGCCTTTGCAGAACATTTACATTCACAAAAACCTATACAACGCAGTGCGGGAAAGGGGAAACAGCATAATAGGGCCCCTTAAAGATCTCCTATCATGCTATTTTTAGGAATATATTATGGGTCTCAGATATATACAAATATATAAAAAAAAATATCTATGATGTGTTTTGCTCAAAATATTAAACAGATCATGCATTTTAGACATCCCTCATATCCCTCTGTTTCAGCCCTGTTAGAGAATGGCTGATTATCTTCTGACCCCGCCCCCTTTTGAGCACCAGGCAGACTGTAAATTCTGTGACGATATTAAGTCATATCGCAAATGTGGATCAGCTCCATTGTAGCCTCGTTTTTTGAGATTTGGGTACGGAGGAAAAGAGAGGGTTTTATTTTCTGACGCTGCGTGAGTTCCCCGACACACCGGGGACACATATTTATGTATAAAAGACATAAAAAAGAGCATTTTGCATGATAGAAGACCTTTAACTCATAAATGTGACGAAAAATAAACAATTCTGTGAAAAGATGCAGCATTGCCTGTGGTTAAAAAAAAGTAAAAAACAAAACTTCTTGTAAGTAAGCGGTGTATAATCAGTGTGGTGTAAAAAACTTGCAAAAATAAAAATACACAAATAGTGGTATACAACAAATGGACAAATCAAGCCATGAGAAAAAAGAATTAAAATGAAAGATGTGACTTTTATTCACTTGAACATTTATTGTTTCAGTGCTTCCATTTTGTAAAATAAATAGATGGCATGGGATCAAAGATAAAAATCAATGAAGATGAAAAGTACACTAGTGTAACAAAATTGGTGACCAAATGCCAGTACAATCGTTTAGTTAACATGAAAAGAGACTTGCATACAATTACGGATCTGCCACCTAAAAACAAGTCAATGCAGCAAATGAGAAATCAAGTTTCTGTTTTTGGAGACAGCAGTAGTATCAGCTTTACATGTCAGTATTCACTCTTAGTGTTTGGTTTAGTTTGAACACATTTTACGGCAGCAGTGTTAACGATGAGTTTGTAGTTTTCATGCCCATTCAGAAAGCTAAGATTCCCCAACAAACAGAAAGTAAAGTGCTCGTGCAACACTTCTGGTTGATCTCCAGGCCAACGAATGGTTCAAAAAGCACTTAGATTTACAGAGAGAAGAGAGATGACGTGGCAGTGTTTGTCCACATCTTAGAGGAATGTTCTTTAATGTTGGTACAGAACTGAACCACGCCCCCCCCCTCCTCACACCAACCCTTTGTGGATATATCAAATACTGTCATCCAAGTATGAACGGAGCGGAGGGAAAATACCCTCCCCAACACGTCTGTCCCGCTCTCGTGGTAAAAGATGGGACAGGCCGACAAAAACACCCAGGAAGGGGGGGGGGTTTAAATTGCACGACAGAAGCCGTCGACAAGTGTTCATGAGTGCACCTTTATACAGGTCAATCAGAGAGTGCCCAGTGGAGAGAAAACACAACTAAGCTCTAAACATCAGAGAATTCCCGTTATGATAAAAACACATAACATCAGCTCTTTACCACGTTGCTGCAATAATAAAAAACGCTGAAGCAAAAAAAAAAGAATCATCATTTCTGTACCAAAACCTTCTCCCTCTTATGACACCCTCGAAAACAAAGGATGTTTAGACAAATAAAAAGTATTTTAAAATGACTTTGTTTTCAATGCTATACACATATCCAGTGCTACACGATCAGCGTCTAGTTTAAAAAGCGGTCGAATAAATAGGCGGTAGTACCACGATGCGCGAAAAGGCCAACAGATGTCTGAGGGAGACCCCGAGGGCCCCCCCCCCCCGTGACGAAAAGAAGAAGACAGTTCAGAGCAGCAGGTTTTTGGAGATCCCTGGTGAGGCAAAATCGGCAATGCCAGCCTGCTTCGACAGATTTGAGTCCACGCAGGAAGAGATTATTGTCCGTTGTTTCACAGAGCAGTCCCACAAGGGTCCCTTTCGTCGGATTTCCCCCTAAAAGAGCGACAGAATTCCCCCAAAGTCCCCTCCTTTTTGTTTCCCGAGACAGAAGGAAGGACTTAGTGCTGCTGCTGAGCTCTCGACAGTGCTGAACTAATAAATACTTCATGTAAAAATGAACATTCATATGAGGAAGATGGAGGAAACAAAAACGCCACATGCTTGAGTCGTGCTCCTCGTAGAAAAACTAACTGAGCCAGCATTCCTCTTGTTGATGCGACCACCTGTGACGCACACACACAACCACACACAACCACACACACAACCACACACATACCTTTCCCTTGTTTTTGTCTGGGCCCACCTACAGAGGGCCTCACATGGACATAAGTGCGAGCTCTCCAGTGTCCATGGCGGTGCGCTTGGCATCAATGCAGTCATTTAAGGAAACAAGCAAGATGGTGGTCAGATGATTTGGATGATGGGTTGAAACTGGCTCTGTGTTATTTCCCGCTTTTCTTTGGCACGGTGCCTCTCTTGGCCTGCCACAGGTGATTGTGGATGGTGATGGCGTCCACGCTGACGGACACAGTCTTGGCGGGGATGACGGTGAACTGCTTCCTGTCGGAGCTGTACTTGTACAGCTTGTCGATCATCTTCTTGGTGATGCTCTTGGGTCCCGTTCCCGTCAGCTTCTGCATCTCCTCGGTGTCGGGGAAGTACGAGTAGAGCGCCCGGAACTGGCAGCCGCCGTCACGGAACAGGATCATCAGGTGGTTGGACTCGCACTTCTCCAACTCCTACAGGGAGAGGAGGGGTAACACATGGAGAAAAGGGACATTAACGATTGGTTAATATAACATTTGGTTCTATTTCGTATATGGCTTCACCCTCTAAGGCTATCGCTATTGGGTAATCCCCCTGCGCAGCACTGAAACACTTGTAGTCCACGCCCACCCGCAAGGTGGGCCCCGCCCTCGGGCCTCATTCCGGTATAAATAGAAAGGAGGCCCGGCAATCTGCTCCCTCTTTTCTTCAGCAAACCTCGGCAGTTACTGAAGCACAGAACCATTAAACATCATGAGAAACAACTGCGTCCGAAATTGTCCCTCATGTGGCTCAGGATATATCATGAGCTATGACCAGCACGCAATGTGCGAATCCTGCCTGGGGCCAGAGCTTTCGGACGCGGCTCTCAGCCAGCAGGTCGCTTGCTCACATTGTGCCCGTCTCCCATCAGCCGACAGGAAGCGAAGAGCGGACGCTCTAGCTGCTGCGGCCGACGAGGATGATTGGCCCGTCCAGCAGGTGGACGGCAGCATGTCCCTGGAGCCGAGTGCCGGGCAGGAGTCGGACGACTCCTACCCTGTCTCCCTCCATGGTTCACCGTGCGGTTCTCCCCTCCCTCCTCTCCCCCTTCCGGGGGAGAGGAGGGAGGGGCTGGTTTGGCGGCCGAGCATGAGGTCCCCTTCTCCGTCGCCACAGGACGGCGCCCTACGTTGAGCTCCCCCAGAGAGTATGTCGCCCGCCAGGCATCACCGTCCCTGGAACATAGCAAAACATGCCTATCTTCCCTGACGGGATGAAGGCTGGGAAAAATACATACCCAGCCGCTGTGAGAAAGTGGAGACGAAGGTCCCACCTTGCCCAGCGATCATAGAAGGGGAACAACAGCTCTCTGCGTGTCAGACAGGAGAGCGCCCAGCTGGATCCCTGACGTCACTCACTCTGACAAGACACTCCGTACCAAAAATGTGTCAGAGAAAAAAAAAAGGAAACATCCCTCTCATAAGAGGGGAAAAGGGCCGCTCCCCAAGTGCCGAGAGGCAGGAGAGAGGCGCACAGCTGGATCCCTGACGTCACTCACTCTGACAAGACACTCCGTACAGGGTGTGTCAGAGAGGAATGGGAGACATCCCTTAAATACAATTGCATAAATGAACAGGGGGAAGACCAAGATGCAGCAGTGCAAATGTCTTCCACTGACATTCCTCCGTGCAAAGCCGTGGAGGAGGACATTCCTCAGGTGGAGTGCGCATTGATGTTCTCCGGGGGATCCACCCCATGAGGAGACATATGCCTGTGACACAGCTTCACACAGCCAGTGTGACAGCCGTTGTGCAGACAGAGGCTGCCCGATCGTGCGCTCTCTACAATGCACAAACAGGCGCTGAGAATGGCGCAAGGCAGCCGTGCGCGCCACTAGCAGGACAGCACACGCACAGGACAGAGGAGATGAGACGCGGCTTCTTCCTCCGACCTGTGAGGAGGGGGAAAGAAGCCATCCAAGGTGATCACCCTTGACTCTAAAGAGCTTGTGATGACCTTTGGCATAAAAGCCGGGTTAAGCGTAAAACAGCTGAACTGCCATCTCCTTGGATTCCGGAG